TGCTTCGTTTTCAAATCACTTCGGGACCTCGGACCGCGGGTACACTTGTAATGCGCTTTAGTAACTGCTTCGTTTTCAAATCACTTCGGGACCTCAGACCGCGGGTACACTTGTAATGCTCTTCTAAAAGTGACGGGATATTCTAAAGTTGCTCCTTCTGTTTTTATTAGCAGGCTCGCCTACAATGTTTTCAGTATTTTGAGGTTCTTCTTGGTCGTCCTCGAGTACTTCGTCTTCGTTTGCAGGCCACTCCGTGGCTTGTCTGAAGTTTTTGTTCATTATTTCCATATTGGAATTTATGGACTTGAAGCTGCTCGCCAACATCTTCGAAAATGACTGAAAATTATTATTTAGTGACTCCGAAAGGAGCTTAACTACGTCAAGCTCTGTCTTATTAGTATTCGGCTTCGAGCTACAAGTCGAAGCTTCGGTTTCGGATGTGAGCTCAACGAGCTCGTCCTCCTCGTTTGTGCTTTTCGTCGCTGAATCTTTAAGTTTCATCGCGTGCTCGCCCTTTAGAGGCAAAAGAAGCGTCATGCAGTGACAAAAGAATTGGGATAAGAAACCTCAAAAATCTCAAAACTAGAAGAGACTTACTTGTAGGTGACCGTGACCGTGCAATTCTGCAGCAACGCCACAAGTAACCAGTACATGCTCACGCATATATCATATAGTCGTTTGTCACGTGACAGTGAGGTAGAATTAAAATCATGGTAGAGTGCTTTTAGTCTCACTGTTGAATAGGTGACGGTCAACTAAATTAGATAAGTTATTTACTATTTTAGTTGACGTCACCTCATTTTTGAAACTACGAGTAAACAGCTACTGAGATCAGGGGGAGAAACGTGATACGGATGAATGTCTATTCACTCATTCTCTGGTAAAACAACCCCCCGGATTAGCATGACCGTTTTTTGGCGCGCTTTTACTATTTTAGGTGACGTCAACTAAATAGTTATCTAAGTTAGATAAATTTATCTAACTATTCAACAGTGAGACTATTAAAAGCACTCTAATAAGCTAATTTAATATAACTAACTTATATTATATTACTTAAACTAAGGGAATTGTCAAGGGTTCCCATTTTTTAAGATGGACATTGTATGTTATTATTTTTTGCAGCAATCGTTGCTTCTATTTGTCTATAATATCGTTTCAATTTTCCAATAAACAAACATAGTTCTGGTGGAGTATATTTGTACCTCGATTGATATAATGTTATTTTATAAATTAATACAACATTAAAATTTACTAGTTTTGTGCCTTTGTTGATACCCAAAACGATAATTACATAATTATACATTAATGGGTAAATTTAAAGGTAATTCAGCCCTCCATTGCACTATCCACTCCCTAATTTTTGAAATAGTAATTTTGAGAGTAAAAACATTCAATAAATAAATGTTCCACAGTTTACAGCTCGCTTAGACAAAATTAACATCTATAGGTGAATCTGTTAGCATTTTCAGGGCCGTAACCAGGGGGGAGCACAGGGTGCACGTGCAACCCCCCATAAAAGCTTAAGGTCCGCTCATCTATCTCCTTTTGCTTTAAAATTGCATGTAAATGTTTTTTGATWAAAGGAAGACCACTTTCTATCTGCGTATTGTAGCATATTAAAGAATSACTCACCCATTATCCCTTTTTTGGTTCTGCTCTTTTTTGGTTCTGCTATTTCTTTTGGTTACCTTTTTTTGGGTTCTGCAAATCATTGCCTGTGCACCTCTCCTGCAAGATCCCTGGTTACGCCCCTGCTTTGTTTAGATAAATGCAATTATTCAGGGGATATATTGAAAATATCTTAAGTACGTCTCAATAGTTGTACTGTTAACGCTAGATCAATCAGTGCTGAAAATATTGATTTAGGAGTCATAGACACTTTAAGAGCTAGTTGTCATGCAGATTTTCCCTTCTAGAAGAGTTGACCTTGCATGGATATCRAAGTGATATGAGTATGCCTGCCCCTCATCGACCTCTTATCTCGCGTGCACGGGAATTTCCCTTATAAACCATACACAGGAGCCTTGTTTGGRCTGCCTGTGCGCTATGCAACCTAAYATGTTTTCCCCTATATGTTTTCTTTTATGAATTAGTCACCTAACGTAACTGAGTGTTCTCTATATATTATGTCCAAACACAAACARTTCATTTAGATAGTTCGTGTGATCACTCTGATATAATCTGCCTATCGATGTTAAGACCCCTTATTTCCACCCTCATTACATTATGTTTACTTTATTTTCCGGCTTTTTCAAGATAGCGGCAATATCAAATTCCCTACTGTGGGGGCATTGAATAATGTCAGTTCCTGCGGGGTTGCTCTGCCACCACCCCCTCCCCCCCTTTCATAATTATAAGAGGCCAGATTAATTAAAACGCGCTGCCAGCCGTACAATCTGATGATTTGTAATATATTCACAGCCGACCAAGATACYTTCCTTTCAGATTGCGGGAATATGAAGCACGAACTTTGAGCTAGTCAGAAAATGTGATTTTTCATATTTATACTATTCCTGCCGACTGCCTGCTGAAAAYTACCCCCTTTAGTTTAAAGCAGTATAGAGTAGTGATATACATGCATAGATGAATTAGATCGACTCGTAGTTCAGTTTTAACCATTTCTTTTGTTTTTTCTTTCTGACTTCAGTTTTTAGTTTCAAAAAGTGCGTGTTGAAGCAGAGTATGCTATCTGCTGGCAACAACAAAAAGGAAGTTGTTTCTGATTGGACGACGTCCTGACCTCTGCAGAGTAGGATATGGATGTGTCTTAACAGAAAGAGAACAAAATTTGCTTATAAAGCCGACAGCCCTGAACTTACGTAGCTCTCAAGTTGTTCCTGCCTTCAACTAATAGCTCGGTACGAGGACTGACCTAYAAAGGTATGTTGGCAAGCGATGTTCACTAAATTACACCTACAGATTCCCTGATGATAATTTGCTTTGACATCCAGCGTATGAGACGATCGGCAAGCCATATAGCAAAATATTAACCCCGCGGAATCGATCGTATATGATGCATTAAACGAGAACAGGATTAGGAAGGAGAAGAAAACAAAGAAAAATAACAGAAGGGAGAGACGGCATAAAAAAGGGAAGAGAGAGAAAACCGTTATCATCCAATTTAAGTTTGAGGAGGTAAAGGGCTGAAATAAAGATTAGAGAGGAGGGTACCAAAAAAAAAAAAAAAAAGAAATAAGAAATAAGAAGGGAGAATATTTAAATGCATGTTCCTCTCTGCTCCGCATTAAAATTCATTAATACGGACAAGTTTTTCCGTCTCAAGCTTCTCAAAATARGGTCTACTACATGCATTCGAGTGAATTTAATTTACGTATCTTAATAAGCTTTCATACCAAATAAAACGTTCTTATGTTCACGGCCTGTCAACTTGAAATCAAATGACCTTTTTTCGATTTMATGTCATTGCATTGCATTACGAGGTTTGCTGATAACATCGACATACACAGTTTCAGCATGCTCCGTCTTATATCACTGGCCCTTCTTGGAATCTGTCTCCCGTTGATTGTAGCCTTTCCAGCCAACAATGCTGCAGTTAAAGTGGCATCTTTGACTGGTCCCACAAAGTACGCCGCCTGTAAATCTCTCGACTGTCCGCCATTCCGTGTAGTCCAGAAGATTGCGCCTGATGTGGAACTGAGAGAATATTCTCGGGTTTGGTGGGCCAGCGCTAAAGCGCAAGGTGAGCTTTACTTTAATTTCTTAGATATTTATATGAGCACTTTTATTGGCCAGTTAGTGCGTGCAATTATATACATTCAAATATTTATACTCAAAACCTAGATAATGTGGACTACACATCTATCAAGAGAGTGAGAGAGAGAAAGCAGGAATTTTATTCGTTATTCATTACTTATGCCATCACCAAAACGTATGGCAAATAAGTACTTTTAATGAGACACTAAACAATTACATGTAAGAACTGGTTTGTCATGTCGAGTTTTCCTTCTAGGAGAAACTCAGTCTAGAAGAAATGACCTCGCTTGGGAATTTCCCTTATAGAAGAGGTGACCTTGCATGTTTATCGAAGTGAAATGAGTAGGCCAGCCCCTGATCGATTTCTCGTCTCGCGTGCACGGGAATTTCCCTTATATAGAAGAGTTGACCTTGCATGGTTTTCAAAGTGATATGAGTAGGCCTGCCCCTGATCGATCTCTTGTCTTGCACGTACAGCTATTATTCGATGCGGAGCGAAGAGATGGACTTTGCGAAACTCTATAGATATCACGTGATGTCAAGCGAGTTCCTTTAAAATGGCAGTGTTGAACAATATCAAATTGACTTCCATATTTGTTTTCTTTTAGCCCCTAGAATCAATAGAAATGTTACAACACCCCTGTACTGGCTTCTTCGTGGCTACATTTCGAATAGCAACAAGCAATTGCAAACACTCAAAAGCAAATTTTGCAACAATGGAAGTCAAAGTGCGAATAAAGGCATACTGTGTCAAAGAAGGACACTCAAGATGGGAGTTCCAGTTACGAAGCTCATTGAATCTACAAAAACAGGAATGAAAGAGGTAACCATGTCGTTCTACCTGTCAGTTCCCAGTCCACCTCGACCATCTGATAGTAAGGTGTGGCTGGAGTACAAGCCACTACAAGTCTATGTCAAGATATTCAAAGGTAGATCCTTCTACATCAGGATGGGAGAGGGCCACGCACATATCCTGGCAAATGACTTGATCCGTCGTGGAGTCGATGGAACAGCATTCTACCCACCTAGTGCAAAGTACATGACTGCTGGATACGATGGTCCATTTATCCCCCGTCGTTTAAGAACCAATGAGGTTTGGCTTATCAAGAAGCCATCAAGCATCAAGTGAACATGATTATCCACAAGACTGACATATGAATGAAATGTGATTTAGTTTTTCTTGGTTTAATTTTGTACCCTTTCATACTTTCATCCCTTCTAGCAGAGTTGAGTTCTACCCTACTTCTTTGCATTTAGGAAAAGAATTAGGACTCTATAAGCAGAGATTCAGGAATTTAGTTTTGTCCATTTGAACGTTATCTACAAAAATGTTATTTCCATAGTTAAATTCTGCAAATTAATAAAATGACCGTGCATTGAGCTGAAGTAGTATTACTTTCCAATACTTATTTTAATCTAAGACCAGCAATGGGTGGGACACAAGCCAACTAGGAAATTGTCAGAACAAAGTACTACTATGATTACAAAGAATTTATATCAGCACAAGCCATAATATTTTGAATTCATTTGATAACTTAGTGTCTTCTTGGTGCATTGAGCTGAAGTAGTATTACTTTCCAATACTTGTTTTAATCTAAGACCAGCAAGGGGTTGGACACAAGCCAACTAGGAAATTGYCAGAACGTGAATTCACTTGATAACTAAGTGTCTTCTTGGTTCCTCATTTAGCCAGGGCATGACATTTGCAGGGGTACCTATTTTTCGAGTCAGGATGCGAGCCAGGACTCAAGCCAGGATGCAAGCCAGGACTCGGAGCCAGGATTTGGTCTATTATTATATTTTTCTATTAATGTTTTGGATGTTTTGACAGTATATCTATATTCTTTCAAATCATAGGGTTAGAAATCGTAGCCTAATAAGTGAGTGGTATTTAAAGAGGCTCTCGATGTTGTAGCCAGTAAAATGTCCGCGAAAGCTCACTTCAGTTTCACAATTTTCTTCTCTTACTATATAGTTTTTTAAAGAAAGTTGCCTATGAATTGGAGAATTAAATTACGATTTTCTGCGTCGTTTTTTAACTATCTTGGAGAGGAGGGAAAAATCTTTTGTTATATTTTTTATTTGACTTGAAGCTCAACTTACTTTTGATGAATGAATTATCTCTGTGAGAGATGTTCAAGCCAGTAAAATGTTTCAAAAGCTCACTTCAGCTAATTTTTTTTWAGGAAATTGTAAGTTATTCCTCCAGTTCATAATAGTTTAAAAAAACTAAATTCTAATTTTCTGAGCCGTTTATGACTCGCCACRGTATTGAGCGGTATTGAGAATGAAAGAAAAAACACGTTGACACTTTTGACTTCAAACTCGCCAAGTCGAGAACTAACATTGCCTATGAACATTCATTGAAGAAGTAAAATTACAATTTTCTGAAGAGAAAAAAATYGATTTACTGTTGTGAGCTCTTGAAACATTTTACTGGCTTCAATGTCTCTCGCAGTGATAATTTATTCATTGCAAATGAGTTTTGAGCCGAGCAGTGAACTTGAAGTCAAATTTTATCTACAGTGAGTGATTTCGAATTTAATATAAAAATGTAGTAAAATCCAAAAGCCAAAATCCTGGCTCAGATCCTGGCTTTAATGTTAGTAAGCTGTTTATCTCTAGTTATTTTTGAAATATGGTATTGTGACACTTTTTCAGTTTTCAACATCAGCAATGAATATTTTGTTCATCTTTAATTAACTTTTTTTAAACAGTAAGGACTAAACAAAAATACTTCTGTGACTGTGGATAATGCTGGTAACCATGAACAAACTACAGGTTTCTTCATAAACATGTAAGCCTTTTAGAACTTGTCTTGAGATAGAAGTTTAAAAAAGACAAGTTCTAAAAGAAATCATGCTAGTAATAACCTTCAAAAAGCAAATCCCACAATGCCACTTCACACAACTAGGAGCTTAGTACCTTTACCCATGGATGTTTCGGGAATTAGTGGTGTAAATTTAGGAAAGAACTAAGAGACTGGTCGGAAAGTAAAGGGTCATAAAAAAGGGAGGTAGGTCATTTATTTTGAGTCTCCAATAAGGGGTGGCTCTTGTGAAAATTTTAGAGCTCGCTTGTCATTTTTAAAGCTATTATATAGGGGTAGGATATACCATATTTAGGGTTTGTGCTGAAGTATCCACTCAAAATTCAAGGACTGTTCAAGAAGCCAAAAATGATTTTCCGAGGAGTATGTTCARCTAATTAAGCAACACAGCGCTTGAAAACATAAATTAAATTCAAGGAGTTTTCAAGGAGTTTCAAAGAGTTAGCATGAACCCTGTATATTGGGCTTAAAACAAGAAGTTGGTAAGCAGTTTTTTGCCTTTTGACTATTAAATATTTATGCCCCCTTACTTTCTGACCAGTCCCTAAAGCACTCAATCCATATCCGAATATAACGAAGAATATTCATATGAATTCTGTACAACTGTAATTAGGAAGGCATTCACTAGGTTTTCTCTTGAGCTTCTTTTTGGTTCTTTTGTGTATTGAATTTTAGATCTTTGAAGCCAAGCTTGCTCAAGTCTTCAACGACCATCAACTCTCTGGAACATAAAATGAAATAACCCAATTTTCAAAATATATTATTGGTGCATGGTATGCTATAATTATACATCTATATTGGTACAAATTTTATGTATCTACAACTTTACAAGGTACAGTGTATTGATTGTCTAAAGTGTATCGATTGCTTTTACAAACTACAGCATACCATTTGAATATTAGCTAGTAAACTTATCCTTTTTGGAAAGTTGGAAAAGAGAAAAGTTGCTTTTCTATAAAAAAAAAAAAAAAGTGCTGATATGATAATACACCGGTAGACTTCTTCAAGTAACACCACATAGGAACATATCAAAAAAAAAAACATGTCATGGCCTATCACCACCGCAAGTACAGCAGTAGTAGTGGCGCAACTCAACCAGATTAAACTGTGAAGGCGCCTCTGGCAGCCACTATACAGTCCACATATGACCCCGGAGCACAGCTCTAACCAGTTTCAATTAGTAAGGGTTGATTTTGAGAGGAGGGAGGAAAAATCRGAGCACTGGAAAAAACCCTCAGAGTCAGAAAGAGAACCAACCAACTCAGCTCACATGGGGCGATTGGGATACACACCCCTGACCACAGAGGTTAGAGAGGAGCGTTTTACCATCCCATCCTGACTCCCCACACACAATACGAAAAAATAATRCAGCACAAAAACATATCAGTTAACAAGAAATATTACCATAAAACAAACATCAAATTAGGTTTGTCTAGTTTGAAAGTTGGCAGTTTGTTCAATATGAAAAATCGTTTTCCTAAGGAACTCAAATTGAATATCGTTGAAAGATTTAGTTGTGCTACCTGTAATGTTAGTTAYGTAGATGAAACATCCTATCATTTATGCATATGAGCCTATAAGCACTTCATTACYGATTATGAATCTAACATACACGAACACGTAATGTCATCTCCAGCCTGTAAAAAGGCTTGTTCTTTCTTGATCTTTTAATATAATGCGAGTTGAGCATTGTATGTATATAGAACATTGAATATAGTGGTAGTGTGTGTGAGTGAAAAGTGTCCCCAGTTAGTGTGAAAGCACTAGAATGACTAGACACTTAAATAGAAATTTGTTTATTTTATTTTTATTTATAATCCATTCTCTATTTTCCTCATACCGAACAAGTTGAAGGAGGCCATGTATATCAAATGGGGAAAACCTTATCTTGAATCAGCAAATGAAACAAGCTAATTTATCATTACTGCCATTATCACATTCAATAACGTATTTAGTCTTTGTCTACTACTCTTTTCATTGCTACTCACTGATTGAGACAACAGTCACGACAGGGAAGTCGGGCAACACACTTCTGTCAATCAAATAAATTGGTCAGTACCTTAATATTCTCTGATTGGCGGCAGTGTATTGCCCTATTTTCCTGTTATGAATGTTGTTTTGAACAGTGCTATATAGCAGTGAAAAGAGTGGTAACATCATAAAATCATATAAACTAATTATCAAAAATTGMATTTCTTTCACAACTGAAGATGGCAGTGTATGTACTGCTGAAATATGTCTTTTTCAAAATAGTAGTCTAGTTCTTAAAATATTTTTTCAGTGTAAAATTCAAAGAAAATTATAAAACCTATGCACATCTCTGTCAGGAAATTTTCTGGCATATTTCGGTAAAATAGTTATATACAATTGCTGTATACCTTTGCATCCTACATTCCAGGTAGTCCTTGGAGTCTTGTCGGCATTTATGATTGTCACCACTGTTCCTCTTTAGACAAGTCATGTATTTCATCATGAACTCCTTGCATTCCCCTGAAGGACCCAAACTAAGTTACACAACAATATTGCATTTCTATGACAAACAACCAATTTCATATATATTTTTTTTTACGGGAAAAACCATGGAATTGGATGGAATTCCCTTATAAGCTTTAAACAGCTTTCTCCTGACCTACCTATAACTTTCTATATAGCATATACATAATTTTGTACAATATATCGTAATATCTCATAAAATTCCCATCAATCAGTAAAATATTCATTTCCAGGTCTAACTTGCTGAGCTGAAGTTTTAGTTCCAATAGATTAGGTTCTAAATTGACTGTACAAAGAAACATGCATGAGTCAATGAAAACCCCAACCCCCCACCCTCATCCTGGGACAATTTGGAGCTTAGAGGGGTAGGGTTTATGGAATAGACTGCCAATCACCCCCCGACGAGGTGGGGCATTAGTCATTTTTAGTAATAAAGCTGGCCTGTGGGGGTGGGGCATAGGTCAGGGGGATTTATACTGAGCCCGCAATATCAAAATCMGCGGCTGTCCTCAAGAAATACTGAGCCCACACAATATCGAAGTCAGCGGCTGTCCACAAGAAAAAATGATAGTGAAATCAAAGTTAAACATAAGGCAAGCCAGAAAGATTAGACACCCCATCCCCTACAGAGTGATAAATAAATGAAACTTTTTCTTTAAAGAGTGTGAAGTCTACTGCACATGTGGTGAAGAAGAACATRGCACCATGATTGCATGCGATAGCCATGGGTGTCCGGCATAGAGTGGTACCATCTGGACTGTATTGTCATAGGAGGTCCCACAAGGGGAGTGGATTTGCAGCTKTTGCAAAGGTCTGCATAGTGTGCTCTTTTACTGAGCTATCTTCAAGTCGAAAAGTAGTTTGCTATCACTGTTTTGTTAATGATACTAATCAATCAATCATGTWTGGATAATCAAGACAGCCMCGGGGGTGGGGGGTTTCAAGGAATTGGATAACACCCAGGGGTGGGGGYATTATTAGAGAGTTGTCCATGTTTTTGTTCTAAGCCCCACATTATCCCGGGGTCGGGCTTTTCGTTGACTCATGCATTGTCATCAATTCAAATCTAGGGAAATCTACAAATGCGATTACAGTAAACATACCATCATGATCCAGTGGAAAGCTCCCTTTATCAGGAGGTTTTGCGTTGAAGACTTTTCTTCCTCCAGTATTCATATAAACCAGCTGAGTTTAATACAACAAGTTTTGACTTAACTCGGCCGCCATGCTTGTTGTCATCCAGAACCATAGAATGCATTATGGGATATCTTCAATAATAATCCAATCATGACATTTGCAAGAAACTCTAGTAATTTATTACGCGTAATCTGATTGGTYGATACCATCTAGGTCATGTCTGGAATGTAAGTCATAAGTCACATGCATTCAAAATGGCCGAAGTACAACGATGMGTTTCATGAGTTGAGAAAACTAAGATTATAATCTTTCTGGTTGGAGAAACCATCATGAACCTTAGCCACAATAGGTCTACGTGTAATGGCTTACTTTTTGTTGGCTTTAATCAAGACCAAGGTATGTTTTTTTTAGTAGGAATTTATTAACTTTTGATGACATCCTTACCTGAGAGAGGTTTGYTTCTTCCTACTAAGTGTTTTTTTCCTTCTACATATATTAACCCTGCATCGCATCGGCATTGGCAATATGATGTATAACATATGTGCAGAATATAAAAAACCAATTCATAATATCATAATAGTTTGTTATCATAATTTGCTATTATGATAATAATAACAAAATTAGATAAGCTTATACAAAAGCTTAAAAACTTAAAACCTTTCTCAAACATTTAATTAACAARTAAAAGAGCTTTGGTTGGCTTAAAAGCTATGTTTTATCAGAGTATAGAAACATATATGATGTCAAAACCATGTTTTCTATACAAAATAAAACATAGAAATGACGTCACAGGAATTCGGTTTTTCAATTTAAAGCATTTTGACATTTTGAATTTAATTTTATTAAAAAATATGTGTTTCCTCTAAAAAAGGAAAATATGTCGTTTTGAACCACATTTGATTGGTACTACATTTCGACGAGTAAAGCTTTCTTTCGTTTGTGCTGTGCATATTACAATGACCTTATTTCGCTAGACTACAGTAGAAGCTTTTTGCATGACCGTGATGGTGTTAGAGAAGTCACAAAATAATTTTAAACATTTTAAAAGTCTAACAAGAATGAAAAATTCTATTGCAAGGAACTTAAGCTTACTTTACAAACTGGCATCATAAATTTTACGCTCAGTTACGTTAATTTTGTTTTACMGTAATTTGTTTTCCAATAGCATACAGTGTATTGAGATAGGAAAGGACTTTGTTGATGAGCTGTTTTGAAATCCTTTTGTTTCTTTGTTGATTCAGGCTGCTTTGCCTGTGGAATGGAGAATGGCTTCAGGATATATAACTGTGATCCACTGAAGGAAAAAGAACGACAGGGTAAGTTTGTAGACATACATGTATATGTATATTATATTTAACCAATGTACCAACTTGTGTACTTCCTAAGAACACGTGCGCCCAATGGTTGATTGGAGGTGAGCATTGTACGATATTCACCTCTGAATCTCGGAATATTGAGTCGGCTACAAAATGGCATCTGCCGGCAATCGTTTTACTACAATTTCCGATGAGGAAATTGAAAAAATGATAGTAAATGCCACTCCTATCAATACTAAAAAGGCAACGAAGTATGGCCTAAACGTTTTGCTAAAAGTTTTGTGTGAATTTGTCCCCAAACTAAAAGTTTCTGTTTGTTTGTTTTTATTGAATTATTGTACATAAAAATAAGTTACTCTGTACACAAGTTGGTATATGCTAAAACAATTATTCGCCTCAGGATCACTCGAAGACTCTTGTCTCGGTAAATATTCCCTGATATTCACTTCGCCTTCAGCGAATAATTGCTAAATATACACACTATATGCTTTTGTTTTTATTTAATAAGACACTAACTAACAAGTACTTTTGCAAGTGCTAATCTATGAGTGATTGATAATATATCTAATTTGATACAAAGAACTAAAGGAAAAACATTCAAATCAACTACATTCTATTTATTTATTTTTCTTGAAGATACTAGCTTGTGCGCTAAGCTACTCTAAAATTCAATTTGAATAAAGTTCAATATGTATGTATGTTCTGTTTTTTTCCTGTTCTTGAGGAACTGCTTGACAGCTTTAGTTCATTGCAAACTACATTGTACAGTGAAAGTGTCTAATTGAACTCCAGCAACCATGTTGACTGTTTATCAACTGTTTGTTCATTGTTTGTTTGTTATTTGTTGGCTGTTTGTTGACCCTTTTTCAAAGCAAAAAATGTTGATTGCATCATTAAATATGATATGACTATTTACTTCCATTTTTAACTTGTAGATTTGCATAGCTTAGGAACAAGTTATTGCAAGGGGTCTAATTATTATGCAATACAGTAGCTGAGTAGCTATAGCAAGCTTTTGAAAGTCACAAAAATCAGAGAGAATTTATGGTTTTTGGGGATGATGTTCCTAAACCCCAAACATTCTTTCTTATTTTTATTTCTTGGAATGACCTATCTCCTATTGCTTTTCATTTATTGCCTGTTGCCTTTGGTGATGTCAAGGTTTATTGAAATAGGTGTATACAAATTTAAAGCTCAAAAAGATATTTTTTATATCTTTTTTTTGAAAATATTGGTGGAGCTGGAAATTGCAAAAAAACAGCTGACCAATCTGTACCATGCTGCTGTGGGCCACTTCCCCTCCCCTGGTAGGGCAAATCATTTTTTGCATCTTATTCAGTAACTTTTTAATTTACTGAAATTATCAGTTCATTTAACTGTTAGAGCTTTCATTATACATCTCTAAACAGTGGGATAACAGTTTTCATGGCCGATCCTGACAGCAAAATTGCAACAACAAAAAACGGCCGTAATTTACAGGATATATTCAGCCCTTCGGGGAATTTAATGTAAACAAACCAACAAAAAAAAAATGCATTGTCGGTTGTGAATTAAATCATACCCATTGTGGAATGTATCTTGAATGTCTTCCGATAATATTTCAGATCATTTTTAAGATAATTCAGCCCTTTGCTCATGGGATTTTCAAATTCTTAAAGCAATTGAAAAACCATATCTAATATGAGTTTATTGTGATTGATAATGATCAACATTGTCTTAAAACTATTTCTATTTCTTTGCGATCATGTGAGATAGGTTCTTGCTATATATATACAGCAGATTTGAAACTAAACAACAAAGGGACTGGTCATTATTTATGAGGGAGGGGGGGATTTCTCTTGGATAGTATAGAAATTACCCATAGCCCACCCCCTAAGTTCTGCAAGTTACAAGTTAATAGCCCACCCCCTTTTAGTATGCATAAAATATATGACCCCCCTCCCCCTTCCGAAAGTTTGGCCCAAAATGATACATCCTCAGCAATGCTTATGTAATAGACAAAGCACTACTACTACACTAGTCACATATAAGTGATTTTGAAAAAAAACTTTTCCTTGAAACACATGTTAAGTCCTTGCCCGATAAGACTTGAAGGTCAAACCATTTACAAAGACAGCACCTTCTCCTCAGTTATTTTAATACCCTGGTCTGGCAGAGGCTTGAACCACGACCTCCTGCACAACAGAACTACACTCTTACCAACTGAGCTAACTGAGTGGCATAACCTGTGCCTTATAAATGGAGTTTTATGGTATATGGATAATCTAAGAGTTATGAAGCATTGAGCTACTGTAATCATTCAACCTGTCTTTTAAAGGTCATGATAATCAATATTTTTATACAGTGCAGACATGCCAACTGGGACAACTCTTACAAAATAGACCCTTATCCAGTTCCAAATTAGCACTGTTTTCACTTGATAACAGACTCATTTCTCAGGGTTAGCCTTGTATTTTGTGAAATATTAGTTATTAGATTATCATTAAATTATTATTATCTGTACTTCAAATTTTCCTGTAGAAAGTATGATGCCATGGTATTTTGTTTTCATTTTATTCATCCCTTTTGTTTATGTTTGCAAAGATTTTTCAGATGGAGGAATTGGTCATGTTGAGATGCTGTTTAGATGTAACTATTTAGCTCTTGTTGGAGGTGGTAGAAACCCTAAATACCCTCCCACCAGAGGTAAGATATTCAAATACTAAACAACTAGTCTAGTCTTAAAAATGCATTTACCACTCCTGGGTGGAGCGTGTAATTCCTAACATGTTTTGCAACCCARTTGWTAAGSCAGCCAAGATCKTATTAGAATTTAGAAGTYGATTTTTGTGGAAAGGAAAGGTAACAGGAAAAAACRRAGAAACCAGAGGAAAACCCTCRAAGTACAGTAAGAGAACCAACAAACAACTCTACTCACATACAACACCATCAGGTGCCTCTCACCATTAGTCAGAGGCAGCACACTAGTAGCGCATGTCACCCATGTACTAGGATTATATTATTTAGCTGTACCAGTCAAGTGATCCTTTTTACAAGACAGAATTTTGTCTGATGACTGGATGAGCAGCACTTATTTGCAGCCTTAATACAGTATTCCATGCTTCATACAGATTTTTGAATAAAATTTCATTTAAAACTTTATGCATTTTTGATATTGTAACATAATTTGATAATATTTTGTTTTTAAATTAATAGTGATGGTATGGGATGATCTAAAGAAAAAGTGTGTCATTGAACTWGATTTCTCAACTGATGTAAAAGCTGTTAAGCTACGGAGAGACAGGTATGAAAACATTTGATTGTTAATCACTTGATAATATATTAATAAATCTTCTATTTTTTGGCAACGTAACTTAAGTTGATGACTGAGAAAAACTTCCTAATAATGTATAAAGATGCACATTTTAAGAAAA